AGGTGCAGCCCTGGAGAGGTCTTTGAGGCGAGGATCAGATGTAGGAGTACGGACAGAGGATATACGCAGGTCTTTGGCAGAATGCAAGGGCCTCAACGGGACATACTTGTCTATTAGGGAGGATAGGTAGGTTAGAGCAGCATTATGTAGGGACTTGTGAGCAAGCACCAGAATCTAAAATTGAGCCTTATATCTAACTGGAAGCCAATGTGGGGACTGACAGAGGGTGAGGCGTGGGAGGTGCGGTTAGACAGGAAAATGAGCCTTGCCACCACATTCATTATAGATTGCAGTGGTGCAGTCTGGGAACAAGTGAGACCACTGAGAAGAGGATTGTAGTAGTCAAGGCGAGAAAGAACAATGGCATGGACCAGCACCTTAGTCATGTCTGGTGTTAAATAGGGGCGGATGCGAGCTATGTTTTTGAGATGGAAATGGCAGGATTTGTCGACCGACTGGACATTAGGGGTGAAGGAGAGGTCGGAGTCAAAGAGAACACCTAGGCAGTGAGCCTGACAGGTAGAGGTGATCGTGGCGCCATTGACTTGGAGGTAGACAGACACAGGATTAGCAACACTTGAGGGAGGAAAGACCAGAAGTTCTGTTTTGGACAGGTTGAGTTTAATGAAGTGAGCAGCCATCCAGTGGCAAATCACAATCAGGCAGTCAGAGACACGAGTCAAGATGGGCGGAGAGAAATCAGAAGAGGACAGGTAGATTTGCATGTCATCTGCATATAAATGATAATGGAAGCCACAGGAGCTGATGAGTTTACCTAGAGAGGCAGTATAGATGGAGAACAGTAGGGGACCAAGGACAGAACCTTGGGGAACACCAAGATAGAGGGGTTGGGGACAAGAGGCAGAGCCAGATAAAGAAACAGTGAAAAAGGGCTTTGTAGAGGTAGGAGGAGCATCAGGAGAGAGCAGTATCTCATAGACCGAGATTACAGAGAATGAGAAGAAGCTGTTTATGATCAACAGTGTCAAAGGCAGCAAAAAAGATCAAGGAGAATTAGGATAGAGTAATGGCCGCGAGATTTAAATCATTGGATACTTTGGTCACAGCTGTTTCAACAGAGTGACAAGCTCGGAATCCAGACTGAAGCGGGTCAAGCAGAGAGTTGGATTTGAGGAAGTTTGTAAATCTCGCATACACAACTCTTTTAAGGATCTTGGAGGCAAATGGCAGTAGCAATGTAGGGCAGCAGTTGGATGGGGAGTTGGGGTCAAGGTTTGGCTTTTTCAGAATTGGCGTTATGGTTGCATGCTTAAAGGGTGAAGGAAATGTGCCGGAGGAAAGGGAGAGATCGAAAATTTTAGTGAGAGGAAGAGCAAGAGAGGGAGACAGGATGCGGATGAGATATGAGGGAATAGAATCGATGGAACAGGTGGTGGGGCGCGAGGACCGGAGCACAGCAGAAACCTCTTCCGTTGTAATAGGTGCGAATGAGCATAGAGCAGTGCAGTGAGTGGGGTTGGGTGATGTATTGGAAAATGTATTGGAAGGGGAAGGAGAGAGGTTAGAGATCTCTTCCCTGATTGTAGAAATCTTCAAGCTGCTGTATGAGTTGCTGAAGCAGACCACTGTGTGAGGCCAAAAGAGGAGGTTAAAGAGAGCAGATGGGAGGCATCAGGGCAGTTGAGGTTGTTGATTGCGATGTTAAAGTCCCCAAGTATGAGGAAAGGAGTGCTAGAGGAGAGAAAGTGCTGTAGCCAGGATTAAAAAAATAAAAAATAATATTAATAATTGTACCTAACCTCGAGCATCTGATATGCATAGTTTAGTTTAGCAAATGAAAAACGTAATTCAAAAGAAAAATAAATGAGAAACTTAAATAAATCAGAACTCATAGCATTCAGGTCTCATCTCTCAAATACACCGCAGGAAATTATTAAAGGAAAAAGAACACAGCTCTATTGTACCAGTAATCAAGAATGAAGTGGATTAAGGCCATCCATTATTTCAGCTGCGTACAATGCAGTTTATGGTGTTTCATTACAGTTTGTAAAGTTGTGTCTAACAGAAATATTTACACACTATGATTTTTTTATTTTTATTATTTTTTTTTATTATTATGTGTTCCTTATTTTGTAAAGAAGACATCCAATCCATTTTAAACAAATAGTGCAGCTTATTCTCAAAAAGGAACAAGCAAGGAATATCTGGTTGATTCAGTTGATGTAAAATCATCTCACTTTCCACTGCTGTTGTGATAAGGATACATTTTTTTATGAGTCGTCAAATTAGAAGGAAAACGAGCCAAAGATAGCGAGGGCTTGAGTAAATGGAAAAGTGGGCATGTTTTAGGTCTGGAGATATTGCTGTACTTTGTTCTAAAACATTTTACAATGGAGCAATCCCAGAGGCAAAGACACATATCTGCTTTCTCATAGTGGCATTTAATGCAAGTCGATTATCCCCTCCTCCCCATTTTAAATAACCTAAGGGGCATGTAATATACTTGATGTAGTATTTATAATGTCATCTCCTGATATGTCACATGGGGCAGCAGTTTAGTTAAATATGCATGAAGTTTGAAAAAGATCATCAATGGTCAAGTCAAGAAAAAGATGAAATCATCGAGACAGACCAGATTTATCTTTTTCTAAATTTGCAACATATCTGAATTAGAAATTAAGTTGAGAAATTGAGTATGAGAGAGCATAATAGATCATCTATAGGGTTTTGCTAATCATCTTCTACAAAATCCTTTATAACTGTTATCATGGGAATTTTAACTTTTAGATCGAAGTGGAAGCCTAGCTGACCTAGATAATGTTTGGCTATTTTGATCTTAAATTTGAAATTCACTTTGAATTCACACTTTAATAAATAACCCTGTTAGTATGTCTTTAATTGTATTTCTTTAATTTTCAATAATAAAAGCATTAACATCACATACTGATTAGGTTCCAAGAAATTCAAAAACGCTAATTGCAGAAATTAGAGAGGATTTGGTGGCCTCTCTGTCTCTGCAAGCCTTGCCAAATTAGCAATTGGAAGGATACCAAATTCCTCTTTTGATTTAACTTGTAAAATTAAGGAGTTTATTCACTAAACAGAGTGTTTTGATGTGTTGACTATCGACTTGTAAAAAAAAATTGTTGGCGATTTTTTATTTTATTTTAACTTAGAACACAGTGCAGATTTAAATAATGGAAATTCCTAGCTAAATTTAAAAAAAATATATATAACAAAAAAAAAATATGGTTTTATTTGAAATTACTGCCACTTTAAATCTGTCACTTTCAGTGCGTGGGTAAATTTTGACCCTTAAAATTGGTAATTCACCCATTTCTAATCTCACTCTATGACTGTCAAAGGAAATCAGCAGTGTGCTGTATATCTGATGATTCCACATTAGCAGCTGTTAGCTGTTCTGTGGAGATACAGTCTGCAGAAACTATGCTGTATAAATAAAAATAGCCTGTTTGCAAATACCACAATGAAGCTTTATTAGCTGGGCATTACGTGAAATCAAATGCAGTTGAAATGTATCCAGTAGACCTAAATGTAATGTGAGCATGACAAGATCACACACATGGCGTGGCTGTCCGTAAATTATATACATGTAGTATCTGCAAACACATGATGCTTATGCAATCTTTGACAATTATGAAATAGGAAAATATATTATAACATTGCAAAATAAAAATGCAAAACTTGGTATGGCAAGTGTAAATCAATCAAGAAAATATAACTTTTTAAAACTACCAAGGGAAAACTTTGCGGAGACAGAAGTATATGATTGGTACTAGAAAATAATGTATAAGAAAATTTGAAGAAGGGGTTAGAGATTAGGATTGGGACATAGAGGGTCAGGGTTAAAGTTAGGGAATTGGGAAAGGGATTGCTTTTAGGAGTTATGGCTAAGAAATAGGGAAATAGATTATGACCAGGAATTAGTGTTGGGCAGTAGAGAGGGAAAATAGGAAATCAGGAAATAGAGCACTGCTGTTTCACTAGAGGAAGGATCCAGTCTTTAAACAATTCATCAATGTGTTGCTATTATTATTATGATATTTATATAGCGCCAACAACTTCCGCAGCGATTTTCCATGGGTGGACGAACAGACATGTAGTTGTAACCAGACAAGTTGGACACACAGAGGGGTTGAAGGCCCTGCTCAATGAGCTTACATGCAAAGTGACACAAAAGGTAAGGATCGCATTAGACAAATGACAGTTGCAAGAGAGGAATCAGTTGGGAGTTAGATAGGTGGGAGCAGCATTATGTAGAGATTTGAAAGCAAGAACCAGAAATTTTAAATTGAGCCCTGTATCTTACAGGAAGCCAATGTGGGGACTGACAGAAGGGTGAGGCGTGGGAGGTGCGGGTGGACAGGAAGATGGGCCTCACCGCCGCATTCATTATGGACTGTAACGGTGCAAGTTGGGAGCATGGGGGATGGCTCCTATAACACGATCTGTGTCTTGTGCCATGTCTCGGAATGACACTGGATCAACACAAATCCAATCAAATGACGCAACACCTAAATTTGGCCAAATTAAAAGTATAACTAATCTCAATTTGATTTATTTCTGTTATAAGTACTCTCTTAAGTTGGCATCAGGTGTGGTAAAAAGAGACTAGAGAATAAAAATTTGAAAGTTTAGCAAACAATTTATCTTATTGCCAAACTCCCTACTGGTCAATGTCATTAGTATTTATATATCATCATCAGTTTTACTCTATAATTATATAACTGGGTTATGTAAAACAATTAAATAAACAGTCAAAGACAATGTTGACAGACAGAAGAGGTGAAAAAGGTCAGCCATTCTGAAACAAGCTCAAAGTCTAGAAAGCAAAGGTAAAAATACAGAATAGCATTTAAGAGGGGAGGAGAGGCTGGTAGAAATGATATCTCTGTCTAGTTCAGCTTGAGGAAAGTGGTGTATGTGGAGAGATATAGAGATGTCGCGAACCGTCCGCGAACTTCTCGCGAACGGTTGCGGCGAACTCCGGTCAGCTGACATGTCCCGGCCAATCTCCGGTAGACCCTCCCTCCCAGACCCTCCTACTTCCTGGACAGCATCCATGTCATGTCATGGATGCTGTCCAGGAAGTAGGAGGGTCTGGGAGGGAGGGTCTGCTGGAGATTGGCCGGGACGTGTCAGCTGACCGGAGTTTGCAGCGAACAGCTCATGGCGAACCGTGGCGAACCATTCGCGAGAAGTTCACGGACGGTTCACGGCATCTCTAGAGAGATATGGGGGCCGAGGTTGTGAAAGGTTTGAAGAATGAGCAAGTGGTCAACGGTGTCAAAAGCAGCAGAGGAGTAGAGGAAAATTAAAAATAAGTAATGGACTTCATTCTACTAGAATAAGTAGTAGAATAAAGGGAGTGTTAGAAAACATTATTATTATAATTATTATTATTATTATTATTATTTTATTATTTATATAGTGCCATCAGACTCCGTAGCACTGTACAATGGGTGGACTAACAGACATGTAATTGTAACCAGACAACTGGACGTACAGGAACAGAGAGGTGGAGGGCCTTGCTCCATGAGCTTACATTCTAGAGGGAGTGGGGTATAGTGACACAAAGGGTAAAAGTAGGGGTACGAAGTAGGTTGTTAGAAAAGTATTAATTGAGGGCTTAGTAGGTAATTTTTGACAGTTGCAGGGGAGGAGTCATGGAGGGTGGGGGATGAAAACCTGCTAACAGTTTAATTGATATGCTTTCTTGAAGAAGTGAGTTTTCAATGATGAGTGGAGACTGGGTGAAATTCTTACGGAGAAGGGAAGGGAGTTACACAGAAGAGGTGCAGCCCTGGAAAAGTCTTGGAGGCGAGCGTTAGGGGTGGGAGTACGGACAGAGGATATACTTAGGTCTTTGGCAGAGTGTAGGGGCCTCGACGGGACATACATTAGAGAGAGATGGTACTGAGCAAGTTAGAAGAGTTTATGAAGGGTGCTCTAGAAGTGTAGAAGTGAAAGGGGAGTTGGGATGTTGGGATGACAGGATATTATATACAACAAAACGATAGTACTATGCACTAAAGACTAGTATGGTTGACAGTTGGACATTTCCACCAAATATAAAGATTCCATTTGTTTCCATATTTAAACTGCATGACTTGGCTGGTTACTAGGGGTACATTTTCTTGGACCAAACATACTTGGACCAAACAGTTTTAAATATTCAAGTCAATTCACTTATGTAATGATTCATATCCATAAAGAATATTTATTTTTATTTCCCGACCAGATGGCTCTTTGGTTCATTAGTCATTAATAAATATAAAGGCTGAACTTACTTTTCTACTAAGCTGTAATTAATAGAGTCTGTTGTGTTTAAAATAGTTGGATTAGAGTTGTTTTTCTTAGCCAGGAGCTTGATAGATCATACTTGGTATCTGATTTTCTGTTCCTACCTTATTTTTCTAATGGATGTTTTCTGTTGCACGCTTTTCAAAAATATAGTCTGAACAGTGTTAAGCAAATATATATTTATATATCAGATTCAGAAAGAGGGACTGTGTGTTCTGGAACACGAACCATTTAAAGTCTGTTCTCGCTGACAATGATTCCGATTTCTGGAGACACGAGAGAAAGGCCAATACTAAGTAACATGCTTGCGACCTGCTTACACTGCTTGTAATTTTTTTTTCGCAGTGCTATTTTGCCTAAACATGAGAGTTTTAACAGCGATCTGAGTATAGGAAGTCCTCGGTGCCAGCCTGGCATCTTGGTGCACAGGTTTGTGGTGTGAACCACCTCTTTTATTGTTATAAATATTAACCAACGACATGAATTGTGTAACAAAGGCACCTTTACTGGCACCGTCTTAACCACCCACTCCTGTTCCAGGTAGATACATGTTAATGCTAAGAAAGACGAGTTTGAGATACAGGTTTCTGTACAGGAAATTGTTATTTTTTTTTTTTTCATGAAGGCTATAACCTTTCTTAGTAAAATATATCAATATTGGAATTGGGCCACCAAATCTGGCACAGAGGCTTTTATGACTTCTACTAATGTTGTTCAAATGACTAATCCTGTTTTGCTGCATAATGAGGTTTCAGAGCCAGTGCTGCTCTTTTGATCAACCTTTGCTAGAAGCAATTATTGTATAATTGCAATTTAACCAAAAGGACGAGAGATGTATAGCATTGACTTCCAAGAGAAGTGGCAGGGACATTTAAAAGTCAAGGTTGTTTGGGATATTTGATTAGGCATAGGACTATAGGATGTAAGGCTATGGTGCATGGTAATTAAGAGGGTATAAAATAAATAAATAAATAAAAATATGGATGTAAATAGGCCACAGGCATGCTGGGCAAACCAGTTGGGTCTCATCAACATTTCAATTCTGATGTAGTTCTTTTTTTAAATAAGAATTCTGGGATAAAGCTCTAAAAAACATCATATTTATGTTTATTTGAGTACATTCCTAAAAATAATAATGGAATAAGTAAGATCATAATCCTAATCACCACGCTTTTAAATGGATAATGCAGCTCAAATTGACCTTCATTATTTTAACCCCTTAACGACCAAACTTCTGGAATAAAAGGGAATTCATGACATGTCACACATTTCATGTGTCCTTAAGGGGTTAAAGCATTATGTTGATCTAATGCTCAAAAATATTCAAAAGCTAATTTTAAAAACGCTCATACTGTAAGTTCCTGTATTTGATGTAAATACCCTGAATTTACAGCTTCCTAAAGTGAGCTCTGCCCAGACAAGGAAGTAGATTTCACCAGTTATCCTATCCTAGCCATCAGATTATTTTCAATGAAAAAAATAAAATCTATTATTACAAAATGTGAATGAAACATCCAAGCTGATAGCAACTGTGATTTAGCGCTACCAACATTTCCGGTTCTGTGAATGTAGGGACCATAGACTGCTTTAAAAAGCTGTGGAGTCACTCAGAGTGGTGGGCACACACCATACAAGTGCCTTGTACAGCTGACAAAGAAAATAACTTCCTCATGTCATATTTGTTATAGAGTGGGCGGGATTATAACTGAAGTATGCTTGCAAATCAGATTTTGCAAACAAAAGTACGACAAGGAGATAGGAACACAGAACCATTTTTTTTACCATTACCAAAATAAAAAACAGCAGCACATATAAGTTTGTATTTTTGATACTAGCGTGTTCTGTTTATTTATTTTTTTTCACTTTTTTACTCCTCATCATTCTTCTTTCCCCATTATATTCTAGTTCTTTGCTTATCCTATTTTTCTTCTTTTTTTTTCTCTTTCTTGAATCTTTCATGCATATATCCTCCCCTTTCCCACGTTGTTTCTATGTTTACTTCCATTCTCATGCCTCTATTACCTATGTTTACATTTTAAGCTCGCCCCTTAAAGTCTGCTCTCTTTTCCCCTCTCCCTTTTATGATCGTATCACTTCTCTTTTTCCTTTTCCTCTTTATATGCTCTCTTTAATCATGTGCTTTCACTTCATGTTTGTCCTCCCTTGTATACATTCCATTAAGAGAGGAGTGAGATCCACTAGCACGAAGGTGAGACAGAGACACACAAGAAAGTAGGGAAATGGGGAATGACACACAATGGGAGAATGGATAGAAAAGAACACTTGCAAGAGGGTGGGGATAGGGTGAGAGCGCACACAAACAAGGGTTGCAAAGGTGACATACAGCAAGAGAGGGTGAAGAAGTGAAGAGAGACCCTGCATTGACACATACAAACTTGCATTACCCAAAGATAGTAATTTTTGGTGGGTTGATCTTAATGGATTTCCACTGATATATTGACCCGTGTACTCTCCTAGATACGCAGATTTGGTTATGTAGTTATTTTGTACATAAATTAGATGATTCCTGTAACACAAGAATTTTCTAGAGCAACCTTTCCCATCGCTTAAGAAGCAGGCTCGTGGCACAATTCCTTTGCTACATCCACAATCATTTCATTCCAACACGGACACACGGATCTAGAAAAACCTTATTTAAAAAATCCGGACCAATATTTCTTATCATCTCTAACAGTCCACCTCTGGAGGCCATGTTTATTGTCTTTAAACCATGTCTGCCAGGTATACAATTATTAAATTTAGTCAATTTAATAGGTTACTTTGGGAGTTCTGGCACTGTCAGGGAAAGGAATGTATAATGTGCTGGTGTTCGTAATAACGGGGATTCCTTCCTGTACTTGTGCAGGTAGCATTCCCAATGCTTGTGTAAAATACCTTCACATTTATTATTGCTATGTAAATTATTCTTTCTTGTTTGGAATCCTAGTAATATGAAATGGGTTTGCCAGTATTGTAATGTGGATGAAGATGTTGGTCTACTGTGCTTCCCTTCCACCCACATAAACCCTGCTCAGAGCAAATTCATTTTTTGGATCGCATACTGTTTCTGTAAAATGTCTGCATACTCCACTGCGCAGTCAAACAGATGACAGGAACGTATTATCAGTACTGACTTACTAAGTGGCTGTTGACTATTTTTCAAGTACCGACTTTTCAGTAGCATGAGAGAATGTTAACAGTTATGTATGAGGACCGGCAATCTCCTCCAATTTGTGTTAAGATTACAACTCACATCAACATCAGATCACTACTGCAACCTACAGTACATTGTTACTAATATGACAAGTGAATAAATGATGCAGGTTTATAGTAGAATAGCCAAAACAGGCACAGTAGCCACAATCTGGGTAAAATGCCAACATTATAATGAATAATGTTTAACCCCTTAACCCCTTAAGGACACAGCTTCAGAAGCTTGACTTACGCTTAATGACACAAGCAATTTTTGCATTTTCTTGCTGTTTGCGTTCAACTGCAATTTGCATCTCTCTCATTTATTGCACCGACACATATTATATACTGTTTTTTAAAGGACAGAAAAGGGCTTTAATTTGATATAACATATATATATATAAATGCTTACTTATTATAAAAAAAATACAGAAAAATGCAAAAAAAATGAAAAATATTGGTTTTTTTTACAGTTTTTGCAATAATAATGTGTGTATAATTAGTGCAGGTTAAGGAAAGTAATTAAAAATAAATTTATTTATTTGTTCTGATTTACAGAATATATAATGTGTCTGGGATTTTAAGTTTTTTTTGGTAGTTACAGGTCACAAAGTACAAGGAGTAAAATAA